TATATATATATGTATACGTCTATGTATGTAATTACGTATGTATTGTTTACTACTGTATTTATTCATGTATTGATATATGTAAAAATATATGTATGCAGAGATATATTACACATTGTCTGTCTATCTAAATATATACATACATGCATATGTATATGTATACAAAGACTGTCTACGTTTGTGTTTACTTCCTCGTTTGTTGAATTATTTACCGTGTTATGTACCCTTTTGTTTTTGGGTTTCATGGTTTATTGTGTGTTCATTGTTGGTTCGCTTATTCATGTAATATTGTTCAGGTAATTGTTGTTATCGTTTGGGGTGTAGTGTTTCGAGTAACAGACATTGGGTTTGGGAGTCGTGCGGTTTGGACGAAACCCTGAACCCCCAAACACCATCTTCCACAACAAGCACGATGGAAGTCTGAAAAGTTAGCAATAGTATCCTCCTAATGCCCCTGTATGATATACGTAAAAACCAAACTAGTTCTAATTGTTCAGGCCCTCTACACTATTAGTTCCCTAAACCCTACAGTAAACCCTAANNACCCTAAATCTTAAGCCCTAAACCCATTATAAGTTTAGGGCTTAGCTTTGCAGAGCCGGGTTGAGGTTTGAGTTTATACCGAGATCCTTCAGCGGCACTAAACCGAATGCAGCTGTGCTTGGGTTGAGAGCCTTTACACCCTGTCAAAACAAACGCCATACCCTATCTGCTTCATTGCAGAAGCTTTGTAAAATGGTAATGGGAAACTCGGGAATGAGGCATGGCAACATCCAGGGTCGACATGTTTAGCAATGCCAGAATCCAGGGGTCGAAATGTTTAGTTCATCATACTGCTGTTCCTTTCCAATCCTTAATTATGACTAATTATACTGTATTTTGATACACCCTCCAACCCAAAACCCAAAACCATGAATCCCACACTAACTGTATTTTGATACAACCTCCAACCCAAAACCCAAAACCCTGAACCCCATCACTAAGGCGCCCTATGCTAAAAATCACATGGCAGGGGGGCAGCGCTGCTCTGCTGCCCGGGCCCATCTTCTACAAGCGGCCCCTCATAAGGCGCATAGCGTGGAGTTTGTTCCTACACCCTAAACCCTAAACC